TAAAATTTGGGTATATATATATTTGTGTGTGTGCCGCAAGCCTTGGCCTGTTAGTGGTGGGGTCACTATAAGTCCCCTCAGGTCAAGGGTTTTTATATATTACTAGCCAAACAAAGAAATAAAAAAGTAAAAATTAATTCAAGTGTATTAGAGATGAAAATAAAAAAGTATTTTTCTTAGATGAGAATATTCAATATAGACGGTGAGATATTTAGAAAATTTTTTCCATTAACATTCTGAAAATATGATTGATTTTAATGGTCTTAATACGTAAATAAAATCATTTTTTTATTTCTATCATTGCATAAGTAACACTAAAGTTTAAAAAGTAAAAATTTAATTCAAGTGTATTAGAGATGAAAATAAAAAAGTATTTTCCTTAGATGAGAATATTCAATATAGCCGGTGAGATATTTAGAAAATTTTTTCCATTAATATTCCGAAAATATGATTGATTTTAATGATTTTAATGCGTAAATAATAGCATTTTTTTTATTTCTATCATTGCATTAGTAACACTAAAGTTGAGAAAAATTTTAAAAAATAAAGTGAAAAAAATCAGTATGATCTTATGGTATTTTAATAAGATTGTAAAAATATTCCGAAGAGTTAAGGATTCCTTACTTTACTAAACTTTCTAATATTATTTTTAAAACTAACAAAAATTTTTAGTAAACATGATTTTTGTTGATTTAGAAATTTTACTAAATTTTTTAATATTATTTTAAAAACTAAAAAAATGTCTAGTAAACTTATGATTTTAGTTGATCTGGAAAAAGCTTGTGTCGTTGTTGTTGTTATTGTGGTAGTTGTTGTTGTGGTTGTGTGTGTATGTGTGTTTCAAATTCGTCGTATCCCCGGTTGCAGCAAGCAGCCCACCTGCAACCTCTTTTTATCTTCTTTAGTGAGAAACCCAATACAAATGCCACCGGTTCTTTCCCTCCTTTCTTGCAGCACCTAGCTGCCCCTAGTCCTGCAGAACACCAAAGTAGCCACCACTTCTCCCTTTCTCTAATTTAACAAACCAAAAAAAAGAAATCAAGATGGAGAGTGTGTGTGAGTGAGAGAGAGAGAGAGAGTTTGTGAGCCTTGAAGTCTATGCCAAACTCGTCATCTCATTACCACCACTTACTTCACACACTAACATATAACATAGGAAAATAAGTACAAATGTATGTTGTTCCAACATTACAATAAAAAAATATAAATTAAGTACTTGTGAGTGTTGATCCAATATGAAAGAGAAAAAAGTGTAATCCTTTCATGCAGATATCAAAGGCTACAAAATTTGAAAGGATTTAGGGTATAGCTGATAGAGTACAAAACCCTCTATTAGCTAAATTTAACTTGAATTAATCCTCTTAGACAAACATCTATCCTATATCTACAAAATTCAACAGAACGAAATAGCCTGTGAATGCAGATAAAAATTTTTCCATCATATTAGGTAAACTACCTTCTTCGACTAAGTAGATTAGGTTCTATAACAACCTGAAATGATAATACTATGAGATGTTAATCGATTTTGTTAACATTCTCTCTTAAGCTCACGATGATAAATTTTTTAAACTATAATCTAAGTTTGTTCTTAGTATATGGTAAGTCTTATTGGCTAATGATCAATTTTAATCGAAAGCGTGCTCCTATTATCGAGAGGATTAATTAACCGTAAGACCTTGCGCCTATGGAAAAATTCTAATCACGGATCTTAAAGTTTTCTCAGGATGAGGGTGAAATCTCAGACTAGTGATTTATCTATTATTTCATCAGTCTTCAAAAAATTTCACTTGAAAGTTTACACACAACTTTCATTTATTTGAGGAAAACCGGATCAAAAATTTTTGGAGCCCGCAGCATGCACAAGCACAAATCAAGTACAAGCTTGAACATAAGGGTAGTGCATGTGTGTGTGCATGTATATGCTCACATGTATGCATATGCATGCATGTGTATGTGCGTGTACATACATGTGTATGTGTTTGTGCATGTATGTGTACCTGGAGACATGCATGTGTGTGTGTGCGCACACGCACATAGATGCGTGTGCGTGTTTGGATAGGAGTGCTAGTGTGTATGTACATATGGCGTGTACAAATGTTCCTAACATGTGTGCGTATGCATGTGTGCATGTGTGCATGTGTGCATGTGTGCATGTGTGCATGTGTGCATGTGTGCGTCCGCGTACATGCGTGTGTGTATGTGTGTACGCATATGTGTGTGCGTACGCATGTGTGCATGTGTTTGCGCGTTCCTTTCTACCAAATTATATATATAAGATGCTTAGATTAAAACAATCTTAAAAGCACTACAAGATTTTAAGAAATTATCTTAATATCTCCCCTCTTCCTTCGTGTTGTATTACGCTCAGTGGCCCTAACCTAACAACTAGTGAACTAGATTAAATTGTTTCCTTCCTAAAAATGAATTCAAAGCGCGCTCTTCTATTTCAATCAAACCCAAAAAACTTAAAAAACTACCAAATTTCTCCTTAAATTCTTAAAAATTTATCATACTTTCATCCAAGCTTCCACAATCCATTGAAACAGATAAAATTAATGCCATATATTCATACCAAGTGTGGCATGAGAAGTTCTTAGATCATCTTCTTGCATTGGAAAAATAAAACAAATTCTACATAAATCATCAAACTTTTACAAAAAAAAAATTATTTGTTTATTTTACATATATGTTATAATTCAAAGATGCATACTGCTTCAATAAATGACTATTCTTTTCCATCTATTTAACAACACAAAATGCTATTAACAGCTTAACATTCAAGCTCAGGTACGGTAGAAGGATTAAAAGAAGATTTGCAGCGACTATCATGGTTAAAATAAAATTTTAATGATTTTGCAACTCTCATCATGATGTGTATTAGTTAACGAGTCTAATGAATCTTTATAAGGCTCCTATAAGATAGAGAGCATACATGTTAGCCTAGAATCATGCAAATAGAGCGTAATGTCACTTGATATTTCAGATAACCAGATAAGTTTAAAGGAAAAAATTTCGTTTTTTTTTTTTTTTTGAAGCAATAAAATGTTCTTATAATGCATGCCACAGTTTCTTGAAGAAATAAGCAGTATATGAAGAGAGAACATATTCAACTTACAGATTCAACAAGCTTTTGTGATTTGGAGATGGTACCAATCCTTCTTCGTGTTTTCCATACTCGAGGGAATCTGGGTCTGGGACCCCTAGCATGACACACCTAACATAGATGCCATCACTATATATGAACAAAATGTAGGAACGTACAGGAAGCCAAAAAGAACTAGGGTTAAGACAAAATACTGAAAACTTTTCATCAAACAAAATGCATATTGAATATGACTTGCGCAAATTTGCAATCAATACATACTCAAATTTTTATCATAAAAAGTTTTACATGCATAGCACTCAAATCTTTAATATCACATAAAAATACCACTATCGGTTACTTTTACAAAGTTAATTACAACTTTTTATGCATAAGATTAACTCACTAAAATGTTATAAATGTAGATATGAAAGGTTGGATGCTAGATATATAAATATAAGAGAATTGTCTGGTATGTATGTAAATTTCCCTAAGATGAAATAACAAACTTAAGCATTTAAGGACGGCCGTGTTGACAACCATAAACATTCAGTGATGGCCATAAGCAATGTCACATGTACTGCTTCAAACAAAAACTTTACAGTAACAGACATATCAGTACCAAAAAAATAATAATACATAAACAAATTTAAAAGGTTGGTACAGGCATTATAGTGATTTTTTTTCCCTAAAAACGACGAGGTGTTACTTATAACTTCTCGAAGTAGAAAATTAAAAAAAAAAAAATGATATTGTTAGTGATGCACTTCATTCTAAATTAAAGCAAGCTAGCAACTTTTAAAAATGATGAATTTCTATGGCTATTGTCCCGGAGTGAACACATCAAAAGGCCAATGTTTTGAAGCTAAACATATAAAAAAAAAATAATGCATGGTTTAACAGATATTTCCATTGGTTAAAATAATTAAAATTTCCTAATAAAAAAAATAATCATTCAGACAATTTGTATCATAAGCCAAAAAGCTTTCAAGTTGCAAACCCTCAAATTCAGACTGATTTTATGCAAGGATGACTACAGAAGGAAGCTATGAAACTTTACAGTTTGTGTTGCCGAAAACCAAAGAAGCTCAAAAAGCTAGTGAATTTTCTTCTTCTAGGTTGCCATTGACAATCTTCATTTATCCTTCTCAAATTTCATAAATCTATTTTAATAATGCTAAAGCATCTTTAATTTGATGGACATAGCAATTTAACCAAATAAATTTAAACAATTAAAGGAAGATTGACATATATACCGCTCAATTCCTATGTATTTACACATCTAACACATAAACTTCAATTCTTTCAAACAGACCACCTTATGCATGTAAAGGTGTATTTCACTTTTTAAAAGATAAAATGGTGGTTATTTATGTGATATGAAACATTTGGGCGGTATAAATGTAAAAAGGTAAAATTTAGGTGTTAGATACATAAATACAATTTAGGTGTTAGATACAAGATACATAAATACATAGGAATTGGGCAGTATGTATGTAAATGCCCCAAAATTAAAAAAAATTGCAAATATAAAAAATTAAAAAAAAACCCTGAAAAAGAGAACAAAAGTCAAAAGTAAACAAAAGAGCAGTTCAATGGTATGGAGCCTGATCCTTTTCATGTATTGAATTTACAAAGCATAATCAAACAAATTAGAATAAATATAAATGGCAAATATGCTACTTAATAACATAAAAAGGACTAGTAAAGTGCCAAGTTCAGCAAACAAACTTTTACAAAATTGGCATCAAGAAAGACTGTAGTTTTACCGCTAGACCATCCTGCTTCTGGAAGGGTTTGTTCATTTGTATTCTTCTTGTTAGAATCGATGGTGGATAAATGATGCAGAGCATTCTGAAAACCTAATACAGTCACTAGACAAAAATATGAAGTATTATATAAAAAACTGTATTTAATCAGAAATCAAACTAGCAACCAAAAATTTGAACTTAAAAGTGCAACTATAACTGCATTATATAGAAACAGTGTGGATCAACCTCAAAAGTGAGGAAAACACATGTTGTAAGACGAAAAACAAACAAAATAATCAAAAATATTAACTTAGCAACATTTTTGGAAGCAAATTGACATTGATAATTGATAACATATGGTAGTAGGAGAAGATGACAGGGGGGTTTAGACTGTGAAAAACATCATCAGCAAAGGAATATTGAGCAAATGTAAAGCCTCGCGGTATCTCTCTCTAGAAAACTCGATTCTTCTATCTCTTGTTCTATCACTCTTCTCAAGGAGAAATCTATGCTTCCTTGAAACAACAAAAGAACAGGCCATCAAAACATTTTCTAATCAAACTTTGTAACATGCAGGAAACTATACTACTGGCACGGTTAGAGAAGGTGGGCTGCATGGTGAATATGTAAACAACGAAGCGCGAGAAAGAAAACATCAGAAGAACAAACCTGAGCTCTCAATCTAAATCTGGGTAGAGCCAGAAAACCGCACTGCAGCAGAGAGGCGGAATTGGGGTCGAAGGGGCTGTTTGGTAGCAGGACTTGGGCTAGAAAGCCAAAAAATGACACATTTAAATCCCGTTTCGCCTTCGTTCAGCCTTAAGTTCCGGATTTAGCTTTGTAAGGCGGATCTATGGGAGTTAGAGAAGCTGATGCGCGCGAAGCGCGGTGGGATGAAGGAAGAGAAAGACGAAGGTTAGTCGGGTAGGAGCGGAGTGGAAAGGGGTTATATAAGGTAGTTTCGGGTTTCAGATATCTTTGTACGCTGCAATCCCGTCTGTTGCTATCCCAGCTAGCTTGTCGCAACTGTACCGCTAGGGTTTTGGGCATGGGAGGAGAAGAGGAATGGAGGCAATGGTTTCGGGTGGGTGAAACCGGAAAACGGTGCGAGGTTTGGGGGCGGGATAGGAGGAAGGAAATGATAGGTTCTGGGAATTGATATAATTTTATTAACTTTAATTAATTTAAATGTTCGATAATTAATCATTAATAAATACACTGTCAATCTAATTGCAATTATATAAATGCATGTGTAATAATTATATAATTATTAATTAATATAATTAAATTATTATTTAAATTAGTTAGTTTAATGAAGTTTAAAAGTAACTATTAATTAGTCTAACAAATAACTAATCAAATATTGATTAATGAATAAGACTATTGCTTGGTAAATGTTTATTTAAATAATTTTTTATTAATGACTAATTATTTTTGTAAATAATTAATTAATTATTAATATACTTAGAAAAAAATTTTGAATTTAATTTAATTCAATTCAATATTGATATCATTAATATATAATATTAAATTCATATTTTTACTAACAAACTTAAGTTGTAAAGTAAATTACAAATTTAATCGGGTTTAACATCGACCATACCAAATAATTTCAGAATTTAAACACTTTAAAGGGATTTACAAAATTGAGATATAGGATTTATCAAATTCTAATTAAGTTAAAATCTACTTGCAACCAAACAATCCCAAATTGTGCAAAACATTTTCATGTGCAAGACATCGAACCAGGTTTTGATAAATCGAGTATGGTGATGTTAGCTCATGGGTAGGGGAGTCAGAATTTGAACTGACATGCTAACTCGACCCGAGCTCGACTAAAAAATTTTGAGTTTGGTTCTTCTAAATAATTTCTCTGTCGGTTATGAATTGAGAAACCTAACCCAATCAATTTTTTGGGTCAGGCTCACATTAACCTGTCAACATGAAATGGATTCGAACCAACCCAAAAATCCAAACTCGAAATCAAACTGTCAACCCGAACTTGTCCAAAATTTTAGCCAATTTTGAGCTGAAATTGACTCAAATAGCTGTGATGCCTTGTGTTAAATGTATTATATGAGTTGGGTTCGTCTTTGCGGGTTGAAGACGGGTCATATTCAGGTTGAGCTTTTCAAACGGTCTAATAATCGAGTTATATTCACGTCAAACAATTTTGGATAGGGTCTGGTCAATTTCATTTATCAAATCTGAACTGGCACGCAAACTTGATTTGACACTTTTACTCACGGTTGTTGTTACACGGCTAGTACCCATAAGATCATTTGTTGGTTATTTTCCACAATAAAATTTTGGATTACTCTGTTTTTAGTGGCTATAAGGTTACTGGTTATTTTGGGCATCATTTAACTGAATTAAAGCATTTTAAGGAATATTAAAATCAAATATATTGTATTCAATTTGTACTTCTGAATTCATAAAAAATGATTAGTATTTATAAAATGTGCTAGAATATTTATGATGTTAGCATGAACAATTAGACCTTAGTTTTGCACGTATGATTCACACACAAATATATAAACGAAAATAGTATAAGTGACAGTTATCTGGTTGCGACCATCTAGAGACAATGATTGAAGGAAGCAATTGAAATTCTACAATTAGCGATGATAATTAGATAATGATGATCAAACAACAATGATAGTTTAGCCACAGTTGTGCAATAATAGTTTGATGAAGACTTTCAAGTGATGGTAGTCAGATAACAATAATCGAGCAATGTTGACTTGATAATTGTGATTGTTGGTGTTGATTGTTAAGATAAGGTGGTTATAAATTCTTAGGAATACAATTACTCTCTGATTTTAAGTATAAGTTCATCATATGAAGAAAGAGTCTATTTATTAATTTTGTGAGTTTCATTTTAATTATTTTAACGAAAAATTTAAATTACTAATCGAACGGCCCTTGTTAATTATTTTGGTCATAGATCGTTCATTCAATATTTACTAGGTTCAATAAACTCATAATTAAGTGATCTCAAAATGCTCAGCTTAAATATTCAAAATGCAATATTTTAATATCATTTGTCCATTTTGAATAATATTTTAAATTATTTAAGCTAAATATTATAGTTAATATTTAAGTTAAATATCATTTGTCCATTTTGAACTTATTTCTGAATTTGTTTTATAAATTGAGAGATTAACATTTTAGCTTTGTATAAAACTTTTGCACACAAATTGATAAGCAAATGAGCTCGAACAAGATTTTGAAAGCTCATAATGTAAACGAACAAACTTGAACGCGGACTCGTTGCTTCATTTATATTTGTGAACATAATTGTTTGTTATTTAGCAATTAGTTCATTAACAACTCGATAAAATGCTCATTTAAAGATGTTTTAATTTTTGTATTTCATGACTTAATTTGTTTTGTTATGTCACTAAACTGTCAACCCATCAATCTAATAACATCTATTAATTTATCTATCAAAAAAATGATTAAACTTAACTACACAAGAGCTAATCCAAAAATAAATTCAAAATTAAATCAACTAAATAACTTTTAATTTGGATCATCTTCAGAAGACACATCTGAAACATGAGCAAGAGGCAAAGATAAGAATGACTATTATATTGTAACATCTATATGCAGTATATATAGATAAATAAATAACTATATACAGTATATAAAACACAGATATATTCGATTATAAGAATCGCTTAATAATGCTTAATATGCAAGTAAATTTTGTAAAAAATTGCGTACAAACTGATGATCTTTAAGTTCAAATGTGAAATCATTCAATTGCAAGTCTGCTGTATTTAATATATTTGTGTGCGCACGCAGGTGCTTTTATATAAACATGTTAGTAATATTTTAGGATTTCTTTTTAGTTCGATCCTCCATTTGCACATCTCACACATAATACCCAATGATTGGGAAAAAATTCTTTCCGGACGTAGCTATACATGTGTACTCCAATAATATGCCGCCATGTGTGCTACATCACAGAGGTAATTTTTGGGTTATTGAAGTAGAAGCGCGGAGATTATTTTGGGGTTATTTTGATGTTATTGAAGAGACTTATATATTCCATTTCAATAATCCTTAAATAACCTCCGTGATTCCACTTCAATGATCGGGGTTATTTCGGTGTTATTTTGGGTTTATTGAAATGAAATATATATGTTTCTCTTCAATATTCTCTAAATAACCTCTGCGGTATTATTTTGGAGTTATTGAAGTAAAACCGCAAATATTATTTCGAGGTTATTGCAGAGTCCACAATTCAGCTTAAATATTTTTTTAGATGGACCTGATATAGCACCATGAAGATATATTACTGGGAGTCTGCACGTAGAGCTACGTCCAGAGTCTGAATAGAAAGTTTTCCTAATTGGCATCCAAAGTAATTATTTCATTGGGACCTCCGCTTGGCATATCTCACTCAATATCTGAAAATTATTTTTAATTGTTTTGCAACTTAAATAAGACCGTTTTTAAAAGAATGCAAGCAAGTATCTATGTATTCTGAAAGAATGGAAGATTGAAATGGAACAACATTATAACTTCAACAGCTTGATTGTTTAAAATTTAAATCAATTACCATTTACTAATACAAAAATGTTTGTAACTGGCATGCACTCGTATTGACAGCATCCAAGCAATCACATTGCATGTTTATTTTGTAGCAACCGAAACTAAGGATCAATGTAACTTCATAGGGATGTTAAAAATTAACCCGAAATGATAATTCATCCAAAACTCAATCATAAAGGCTGACCAGATTAACTACTAGTTTGAGTTTGAGGCAAGAATCCTGACCCGTTAAAATTTGTTTCAGTCTCGGGTTGACTAACTAACTCAAAATTGACCCGGAGCTGACCTGTCAACTTAAAATTGGCCCAAAGTTGAACCTTCAACTGAATTTGATCAGAATTACTGTTGCTCATTATATTAATTGGGTTACTAAGGCCGAGTATTGGGCCAATCAGGTTGAAGAATGTTTGGGTTCAGATTAAAATTTTTTACTTGCTTAATAGAGAGTACGAGTCAAATCTAGTTCAGACTCGAACCCAACCTGTTAACCTGAATACCTGATCGACAACCGCAAAACTTAGTAGGTCAAAAGGCAACCAAACAAGTTAAGGATGACGTAAGTAGAATTGCATTTGTTCTGCCACAGTATGAGAGCAAATGACATCATTATCCCAACATGAACATTTAATTATCTACTTGATCAAACTGGTATGAAGTGCTGAGATTTCAATGCACAGCAAGAGAGAAGAACAGCCAAATAAGCTGTCTATTGTTGCTGGAAAGATTGATTTATCGAGAATTTTCTCACGCAAAGCTATTCAACAAAACGCAAATCCAGTAATAAAAAGAAAAAGGAAACAAGTATTACACATTCTAATTCCAAAACAGTTAGTGCCAATAACCATCTATTTCAAGTTAAAAAAAAAGTCAGATATATTTTACATCAGCATTCAGGTAAAGATAAAAATTGAATAAAAATAATAACCTCAACAAAATGTTCGTAACAAAATAATATTAACCTTGGAGAAATTTTAGTTAAAAAGAATGGCCTATTCTAGAGAATACATAACATACTCAGACCTGACGGACTTGAATATGATGTGAGAACTCATTTCGCCATATTGTGCGCGCTCCACTCTGAACAAGAGTGACGTACTCTCCACTCCTCAGGAATCCGCCCTTCTGTTATGAAAAATATCGCTAGAGAAATTAAAACCAAGTAGAAAACAGTGAAGGCTGGAACAAGCAGATTGGGATTAAGCTCAGATGGATACCAGTAAGAAGTTTGTTGCTCTAGAGAAAGTCTCTTCAATATCATCAGAAAACTTCATATAAATAGGTACTACTCCATGATAAAGTGCCAGCCTCTGCTTAACCCTTAACCTGAACACAAAGCACAAGGTCTCGTCTTTTATAGATTATAATGATTAGAATTAAACAGAAAATAAAATAAATTTTTTAATGGTGCAGCTCAAATTACACTTAGATTGAAAGGACTTACTCATCCGTAAATGCAAATATAGTTGATGATGATCGATAGTGACTTAGAAGCACCGCCATGGAACCAGTTCTTGTGAAGACAATGATAGAGCTTCCAATATTGTTGGCCATCATGGCAGCATTTGAGGCAAACAATTCACTCAAATGGCTCTGACAAAGCTCCTCGCCAGGAGCAGCCTTCAACATAAGAGAATATGTTAAAAGAAAGACAAACAGGATGCTGAGCAGCATAAGGAGTTGTTGCGGTATATTGAAATAGAATACGCTCCTTTGGTTCGCATCTCACGCCCTTTTTTTTTTCTCTGCAAGGAGTTCCGCCATTTGGCTTTTGCTTTTTCCCGTAAGCCACACACGCACGGAACTAATTTTTGGAGAACTGCTACTTAAGAACCTTTTAATTGCTTAATTCTTAAAAATGGCGGGAACGGTTTTTACTTGAAGAGGCAGGATTGGAAAGGAAACGAGAGGATGCAGCCTTTTAATCTCAAAATTTGCCAGATATAAGTGGGCCAGACTCCACTTTCAACAGGAGTGTCATTAGTGTGTTTTTGTTTTTATTTTTGGCTTGGTTTTTAAAAACTTGTCTGCTCAGTAAAATTTTTGCATTTCTTTATCTTTTTGTTTTTTATCAACTAATTTTTAAAAATAAACTGTGGATGTTTTGAGTGTTTTTTTAAAGAAAGAACACCACCGTTGCATGCCATCTCCGGCCACCGGGTTTCACCCTTGCCATTGCATGCCACCACCGGTGACCACCGCCATCACCATATAAATCAGCTTATTCAATATCCAATAAAAATAAAAATATATTTTTAGATATAAAAAATGTTTTACTTCAAATAAAAAAATTAAGCATATAAAAAAATAAGCATAACAATTAAAACAAAAAATAAAGTGATCCCAAATGGTTCGTAAACAATTTAACTCACTCAGTAGTTGAGATAAAATTTAATAAAAAGAATGAATGAATGTCGTATTAATTGTTCAGATCAATGTATAGATACCTGGGTAGCTGTTAAAAGACTTGAATGAAGAATGTTTGTTGAAAGTGTTGATTCAGTCCTCGATGCGACAGTATGCATCACATTCACTGCTTTTATAGGATACCTGAACACAAAAGATGAGCTTGCTTTTAGTCATACCAGGATCCATCAAGTAGATAAAAAGAATTTCTAAACAAAATCAGAAATAAAGGCCGGCTTTTGATTCCATTTACATTCACTTCACCCACAAACCGCCCCCCACCCCCCCCCAGCACAAAATATTTAATTCTGTCTCGAAAGGACAAAACCCATCAAAGTGATGTTGAGCATAACCCAAAAAACTTGTTCTTAATCGACAGTTTAGGTTATTAATTAGTGAACCCATATTTCCTTCATTACTCCAAAACATTAATTTTAAAATTCCAAAGGGGGGAAGATTATAATTATAATAATTTAAAATTTTCAGATTGGCCAACCTCCCGTTTGCTGTTTCGCCAGAAAGCATAATGGCATCAGCACTTTCACGCACAGCAATTGCTATATCAGAAACTTCTGCTCTAGTTGGAGTTGGATGACTAATCATGCTCTCTAGCATGTTGGTTGCAACAATTACAGGCTTCCGCATGCTGCGACACCTTCTAATGATTTCCTCCTGATATAAATTTTGAAAGACATCAATCATGAGGAAGTAAAGGTACAAAAGAACATTTAATCGTTTCTCTAGTAGAAGGAAAATTTGTTTTGGTCGAGTAGTGGAATAGACGCCAACATAGACAAGATATTTTAAGATATAAGCAAATCATTGGTTAACATAAACAAGAATCAGAGAAGATTCATTTTAGGAAGGCATCTTATGTTTCATAGGATAATGAATCAAAAGCATTTTTATAGTTTCATTCTATCCAAATCTCCTAGAACAACATTAACTCATCACACAAGGGCAATATCATATACATTGTTATAAATATATGCAAGTTCTATAGATATGAATGCTGGCAAATCAGTGTACCTTTTGCAAGCGAAAAGGCATAAATAGAGGAATTGATACAGAGGCATTTTGCAATTTACACATGCTCTGCACAGATAAAATGTGATTGTTCTTGTAATTGTACATGTGCATTTTAAATTTGTGTAATTGCCCGAATTTTGGATATGATGGTGCAAGAATAGGCATTTCAAGTTATTTATAGGAATATACATCTATATATATAAATGTACCACTCTCTTGCTTCTATAAATAGAGAGGGTGTGAGGCTTAGGAGAGCAAGAGAAGAGATCTTAAGGGTGTGAGGCTTAGGAGAGCAAGGGAAAAGATCTTAAGGGTGTTAGGCTTAGGAGAGAAAGGGAAGAGATCTTAAGGGCGTGAGGCTTAGGAGAGAAAAGGCAGAAGATATCTTATGCTACCACAAAGGAGGAGTGAATAGCTATAGAGTTAGAGAGGAGGAGAGCATCTTGAGGCCTTGTATCAAGGTGTCGCTTGAGAGGGAGGCCATAGAAGAAAGATGAGGGCTCATCTCTATGTATAAGCTATGTATTCTCCATTTCTTTTGCCTTAGTGAAATATTTGATTGATTCCCTCCCGTGGACGTAGATCCAGTTGGATCGAACCACGTAAACGATCTGTGTTTGCTTGTGTTCTTTTTCGTCTCATTTCTATGTCAGGAAGTACATATCTCACAACAACACATGTCAGCGACGAAGAAGAGGAGTTTGGCATTCACAAACAAAGGAGCCGGATCACATCACAGGCAACCGAATCGCGACAGATTCAGTGAGCAGTGAAAGCTTTGATCGACTGGATTCGCACCGCAGGTTGTGCGGTTCAGTAATTCTGTCTCGAAAGGACAAAACCCATCAAAGTGATGTTGAGCATAACCCAAAAAACTTGTTCTTAATCGACAGTTTAGGTTATTAATTAGTGAACCCATATTTCCTTCATTACTCCAAAACATTAATTTTAAAATTCCAAAGGGGGGAAGATTATAATTATAATAATTTAAAATTTTCAGATTGGCCAACCTCCCGTTTGCTGTTTCGCCAGAAAGCATAATGGCATCAGCACTTTCACGCACAGCAATTGCTATATCAGAAACTTCTGCTCTAGTTGGAGTTGGATGACTAATCATGCTCTCTAGCATGTTGGTTGCAACAATTACAGGCTTCCGCATGCTGCGACACCTTCTAATGATTTCCTCCTGATATAAATTTTGAAAGACATCAATCATGAGGAAGTAAAGGTACAAAAGAACATTTAATCGTTTCTCTAGTAGAAGGAAAATTTGTTTTGGTCGAGTAGTGGAATAGACGCCAACATAGACAAGATATTTTAAGATATAAGCAAATCATTGGTTAACATAAACAAGAATCAGAGAAGATTCATTTTAGGAAGGCATCTTATGTTTCATAGGATAATGAATCAAAAGCATTTTTATAGTTTCATTCTATCCAAATCTCCTAGAACAACATTAACTCATCACACAAGGGCAATATCATATACATTGTTATAAATATATGCAAGTTCTATAGATATGAATGCTGGCAAATCAGTGTACCTTTTGCAAGCGAAAAGGCATAAATAGAGGAATTGATACAGAGGCATTTTGCAATTTACACATGCTCTGCACAGATAAAATGTGATTGTTCTTGTAATTGTACATGTGCATTTTAAATTTGTGTAATTGCCCGAATTTTGGATATGATGGTGCAAGAATAGGCATTTCAAGTTATTTATAGGAATATACATCTATATATATAAATGAATTCTGTAAATCTTAATAACCAATACAGCCTACAGTTATGATTAATTAAAAAGTACCATTTAGTGGGCAGCACCTTTGAGAGAATAATACATGAAGGTCACACCCACTTAAGAAAAAAAAATATATCCGGATTTTTAATGGTTTGATGCGTACTCTAAAACGTTTACCTGCAGCAATGGAACTTCCTCTATTGGAAGCTCTGCTCCAAGGTCACCACGAGCCACCATTGCCTGCAAATATTTACATAGGCATCATCAGCTAAAATTGTATTAACAACAAAAACTGACTACCCAAGGAAGACTGGTTACTTTGCTGCTTACATAGATGGTTTCTAAGAACAGAAAGATGTATTTTTGAAATGCGTGCATCACTTATATATTCAATTTTTTTTTTGTTTTTTTGTTTTTGTTCATTCAACTACATCAGAAGAATGAAGAATAATGCCATGTTATTCAAATATTGCACTATTAGCAAGTTTTCAGTTGTTGTTTGAAACGATACTTTGTAGTAAGCCTCTTTGGAAAGAGCAAGACGAGTTTACAGGTTCTATGATTTCTAGCCCAGAGGAAATAATTTTCCCTTCTTTGTAGGGTCACTGATGCATCCAAAGAATAACCAATCCACAGTTAAATGGATGGAAAATCTTGGTGTGGTTAAATAGATGGCCTCCCCTAGAAGTGTTGCATGATCAAAATTTTTTTTATATATTTGTGCAATCCTCAGTTAGTAGTTTCATCTTCATGTTTATTGTTGTAGTCATGTACCTTCATTTATGTTTATCTGTTAATTTTAAATTAGTAGTATGAAAAAGGAGAAAAGAAATGTATAAATACAAAGATAAATTATCACCATATTGCATGGGAATTCAGCCACACAGCATGAGAATCATGCACAATTGCTTGTGCCCGCCTCTTCATTAGTACAATGGACATTTGAAGTATACTAAGGTCCGCTACGAAGGTAAGAAAATGTTGAGGTAGCTTCTCCTTGGCCATATGGAGTGTTTGGAGTGAAAATTCTTATTGAAGATCTTAAAGTTTTAATTTAGCTTCCACTTAAGTATTCGGCAAGACACGAAAGACACGAAACATCTCTCCATGAACACTTTTAATTAGAGAGATGAAAGATGAAGAGGCAAAATGTTGAAACTGGTGTAATTAAGCCTATTTCACTAAATTATTACTCTTAATGTAATTTAATATCTTTTATTATTCATTTGGCACTTAAATTTTTTTAAGTAGACGCAAAAATAGCCATAAAATTCTATGTTGCAAAGCAATATATTTGAAATACAATTAAAATTACTCTTATTTTCTCCAAACTTTGGTTGGCAGTAAATTTTTTGAGGCAGTAAATTTATTATCTTTTCCTTTTGTGAGATTAAGCGTGACGCCTATCCTTTAGTGAGGGTGAGGTAGTTATCCAAATACTTTCAGCTATTTATCTCATGTTTTTTGAGTTATTATTTTACAACTCTTCAAAACTGAAGCATTACTTCATCAGCCGAAACACAAGTAATCAATTCATCAAACAAAATCTTCAAATGTAAGCTAAAGCATGGAAAGTTCACAAAATTCCATACCCCGTCGGAAGCAGATATAATAGATTTAAGGTTTGGTATTGAATCAGCACTTTCAATCTTGACGATTACATCTATATCTGCTTCGCAGCCTGAAATTCCGAGAATAAGAGATGAAAAATAGAATCGCTATTTAGGATAAAAAAATATATGTACATATATCAACGAATATGGCATTGATTAAAAACATACTTTTAAGGTAACTTTTCAGTTCACAGACAACCTTTGCATCTTTTACAAATGATAGTGCATAGAAATCAACTTTGTTATCCACTCCAAATTTGATATCCTCCCAGTCTTTTTCTGTCAGAGCATAATAATTAACAATATAAATACTAGAGATACTTTACAATGACATATCTAAATTCAAAAAATGGGGAAATTTTCCATTTGTACATTTAAGGCAAACAATACAAACCTGTTATGGAAGGCAAGGAAGCACTTTTTCCTCTAACATTTAAGTGACGCCTTGATTTAAGTTCTCCACCATCAACCACTTCGCATTTTACAGTATCAACAGTTTTTGCCTTCACGGATAGTGACATCATTCCACCTACAGCACAATAACCAAACTTGAATTATAATCGATCCTATAGATAATAACATCATAGTATGCATTCATGCATATGTTAAAAGTTCATGATCAAACGGGAAAATTAATATAGTAGGATAGGTTTCGTGATGGAACTGAAATAGTTGGCAAACAAAGCACTTGGAAGAAGAGTTTATGATCTTTTTCTAAATTTTCTCTCTTTTTTGTTTATTGGATTTACAAGTTGGATGTTGAAGGACTTGTCAAAAATAAAATAAAATAAAATAAAACAAAAAAAAAAAGAAACGAGGTAAGCTACCAAAGAAGAAGAATACACCAAAAAATCAAAGCAATTGGGAAAGTTAAGAAAAAAAGCAATAAAGAGTAATTTGGGAGTGTTAGGCAAGTTGTAGTTCTCCTTCAACTTAATTGTTTTAGAAGTTTTCATCCCTTTAGACCTTCTAAAGCAAAAATATTCCAATGAAATGTTGCACAAAAGAATCATAACCCCTTTAGCTTTATCCTAAAAACAGACGAGGTTCATTTCCTTCAAAATAATTTGTATCAGTGCAGGGAAAATGAATGTATTCTGCAAAATTTCCAATTTCTCTTGGATAAAATTGCATCTCCAAGTGATAATAGTTCTAATAATGCATCAAATTGTACTAGGCACTTGACCATTGTCATTGGATCATCGTTAACTTACCATTGTCATCATATTTCGCTAAATGACATCAATGCATATCATTTTCAATAAAACTATTACATATTATTTACAACAATATCGTGCAACATTACTAATAAGTTTGATGTATATCATTGATGTCAATGTTTTGTATGCTATTGCCAATAAGGCCCACACATGCAAACCATCGACTTTCACGTTAATGCTTGCCATTACAAACAAGGTCAATACAGGCAATTAACAAAAATTGCTAATGCCTGACGTCAACTCCAACTTATGTCGAAATTCTTAGTCTTTAATCTTCCATATTCTGAGAAGAATAAGCAAAATATACTACTAATGATCTCATGATGACCACTCAAATACCTCAAGGCTCCTTCAAACTTCCAATATAAAAGGTATCCTCTATTATTCGTGTCTACTATATTATAATAATATCTAATTTATCCATGGGGAAGGATATCATTTGTAATTCCGACATTTAATATTAAATATATTTTAGTTGAGTAGACACTATGATTTTTCCTTTTACCAGATTTCAATATAGGAATTCTTCTCCTACGAGTTGCTCTTAATTTGTCTTATTTAATGGTGTAATAGATATTTTTACAATACTAAAAAGACAAATTCTCTCTATTGCTTTAAATTTTCTAGTACTCGATAAGGTTAGAAACAATTACTTATTTAGATATTACGAAAAGTACAAAAATAAGAGTAAATGTAGTTTTTGCCTGATTTTAAATTTAGAAGTTCATATTAATTTTTGTTTTTGTGGATAGGCTGTTATTCCTTTTATTATTTATTATTTTTATCCAAGAACAATCTCAATTCCCTATTACCACTTATAACTCCATTTAAATTACTTCTATCAGGGTTGCCTCCAAAGGTGTAAAATCAATTTTTAACAAATTACTTGTAAATTCTAGCCACAGTATCATAGGTCCCTCTCTCTTCCGTTATAATCCCCCGACGATAATTTTATTCTACAATTTTTTAGATGAATTTTCTACCATTCATTATATATGTCCAAATCTCTTAAATTTAGTTTCAACTTATCTATCTTCAATAGATGTCACTTTATCCAAGTAAGCCAAAAAGATCAACGGCTAAAGTTATGTGAAAGAAAAAAAAAACAAATGAGAGAGATTGAAAGTAAAATGGATTGAAATTGAAATAAAAAAATAATTGTGTGTGTGAGTGCGCGTCTGTGTATAAAAGATAGTTTGTTATTTTGACCCCCAATTAATGAACTAAGTTAAAAGGGCAATTTTGTAATGTGGCACCGCCACCTACCACATCTCTACCTACCGCTCACCTACCGGCCACCTACCTCCCACCTACCTCCCACCTACC